TCTTCCTCTTCCTCTTCCTCTTCCTCTTCCTCTTCCTCTTCCTCTTCCTCTTCCTCTTCCTCTTCCTCTTCCTCTTCTTCTTCTTCTTCTTCTTCTTTTTTTTAATGTATTTGGTTGTTATAGAGTCTTGCTACGCAGCTTGAACACATAGTGATCCTTCTGATTTCAGCCTCCCCAGCGCTGGGATTACAGGCATGCACCACCACACCCAGACTCTGGCCAACTCAGCCCGCCCTGGGGGCAGGGCCTGCGCTACATGTGGTGCCGGGAAGACACCACGGTCCCTGCTCTTGCCTAAGTAGGCACTTTAGTCTGTTCAGCTATCTCACCAGCCCAGTCCAATTCTTTAGTGACTCTATTGATCTGGATATTTCATATTTTGAAGGTTGTTTTCAGAATCTTCTTAAGGTCCATCCAGACTATACATTTTACTTTGGTGAGTTCTGGTACTTTGTCCTTTTCAGGGAATTGTTTAATTTAATGCAAGTTGTTAAATTTATGTGCATGGAGTTGACTTTTCCTTTATTGACCTTTCGGCGCCTGCAAGGTCTGCAGTTATAGCATTTTTCATTCTGTTTCTTCCAGTCTCTTCTAAGCACTACTGAGCTAGGCAATTAGGGTGTGGCAAAATGGGCTGTAGAAATAGGCAGGACACTTGTCAATTACAAGATCCTGGACAGTTTTGCAAATCCTGAACATAGACTTTTCCTAAGAACGTGAGCAGGTTGGATCAACAGGATGGTGTAGACCTGATATCAGCCTGAGACTTGGGATCGCAGCACTGCTTCTTAAGACCCACATGTAGGAGTTCTTGTGGCTTTTCTCAAGAAAATATAAGGACCATATAAAGGACATACTGAAGCCAGGAAGAGCTTGCTGTCACAGCCTTCCTCATGATGCCCTGCAATGCGTCCTAGTTTTGTTTTCCTTTGGCTTAAGTCTACTCTTCTGTCAGATTCCCTCTTTAGGCTATAGATTATTTTAAATATATCACTGTAGTGCAGTGTTTTTAATTCTTTTGGAAGGGCACCCAGTAGGGTAATAGCTGAGTCCAGTGGCACCCCCAGTCCAAGTTTTTTGAGGAATACATGCACTGATTTCTGGATTGAGTCTTTAAATTTGTTCCTTGTGCATTTTAATATGATGTGTATATTGCTGTTTAGTAGAATGTTCTGTAAATGTCAATTAAGTCTGGTTAGGTGATGGTGCTTTTGAGTTCTCAAACATTCTTTCTTATTGTTTACTTACCAGTTCATTTACTGAGAAAGAAACTTGGAAAATCAAACTATAGTTGTGGATTTGCACAGAGATTGCTTTTACTTACCCACGTTTATTGGCACAGTTTAGGTGTATATAATCACACTCATCATATGGAATTCATACCTGTATGTGATGTATCTTGAGTCTTTTTTCTCCATTCTCCCCTGCCTTCAACCCCACTTCCTCTCCCTACTTCAAAAAACTTAGTTTCCAATTTTTCCCCACATTGTTTTCCTCTTCCTCCCCTCAGTTCCCATTCCCATTTCAACATTTTCTTCTTATTTTATAATATATATTATACCTTTTGGTCCTTACTTATACTTTCAGTTTCTTATACCAGAGAAACAATGTGGTGGTATTTACACATGTATGTCTGATTTATTTCACATAAGAGTGTGTTCACAAAGTACAGCCATTCAATGAGAATGTCTCAGGATTATCCTTGTTTAGGACTGAGTAGTACTCCATAACATAAAAACCCTCACATTTTCTTTACCTATTTATTGGTTGATAGGCATTTGAGCTACATCTAAGATTTTGATATTACAAACTGTGCCGTTATGAACATGGGTGTGCACTTATCACTATGGTATGATGTTTTCTTTGACTTTTTGAGGGAAAATACCAAGAAGGGAAATAGCTGGGTCCAAAGGGACCTGTAATCCTAGTTTTCTGAATAATATCTACACTCATTTCCACAGTGGTTGAACCAGTCTTCGCTCTCACAAACAGACAGTGGAGAAGAGTTCACCTTTCCCCACAGCACCACCAGCATTTGTTGTTGGCTGATTTTATGATGATAGTGAGGTGGAATTCTCAGCATTGTTTTACTTTGCATCTCTCCAATGGCTGGTGATGTTGAATGTTGTTTTCATATATTTATTTGGTGTTTTTACTTCATCCATGAAGTATCTATTAATTTTAGATGTCCACTTCTGGATTGGGTCTTTAAACTTGGGGGGGGTCTCATTTTTTTGAGTTTTTGTATATTCTAGGTATTAGTCCTTTGTCTTGAGGAACAGCTGGAAAAAAATTTTTTTCCATGCTTTGGGTTGTCTCTTTACTCTGTTGGTGAATTTTTTTCTGTGATAAAACTTTTTTTAATAAGATGAGAGCCAGTTGTTGATTCTTTGTAACATTTTCGATGTGATCAAGGTTCTGTTTATAAAGCTTTCGCCTTACACCTATGTCAAGAGTTCTTCCTATTATATCTTCCATCAGATTTAGTGTTCCTGTTTTAATATTTGGATCTTTGAGCAATTTCAATTTTAGTTTAGTTACACAGAGATTTTGCTGAGAAACATTTAAGAGAAATGCTAGAAATAGGTGTCTTTGTTTAAAATATGCTTAAAATGTGGTGGGGTTTTTTTTTGTTTGTTGTTTATTTTCATTTTTTGAGACGGGACCTTACTGTATAGTTCAGGCTGGGCTTGAATTCACCATGTAGCCAGCCTGGTCTCAAACCCACGACAGTCCTCTTGGTGAGTTCTGGTACTTTGTCCTTTTCAGGGAATTGTTTAATTTAATGCAAGTTGTTAAATTTACGTGCATGGAGTTGACTTTTCCTTTTTTGACCTTTTGGTGCCTGCAAGATCTGGCATTATACGTGTGTACCACAGTAGCTGGCTTGTAAGTGATTGTATTATGTGGGAGACCTGTTTAAACTATGAACTAGTTGGTTGTCATACTTGAGAAGCTTGTTCATTTTACACAAGGTACAACTGGTTAGAGACCTAAGACCCAAAGAAATATATCAATAGGCAAATATTGAAATATCTTTTTTTTTTTTTTTTTTCAGAACCGGGGATTAAACTCAGGCTCTCGCGCTTGCCCAGGAAGTACTTATTCTACTGAGCCACCTCCTCAGCCCTGAAATATCTTAATAAGATGTAATCACTGTATAGGAGTAATAAATACCCCTATGCATATTGACATAACTGTATATATGGATAGCTTCAGTTATGAGGCTGTTTTCACTGATCTTTCTGAAGTGATGAGTACTGTTTGGTTAATAGATGCCTGTGCTTTCTGCAAATAACTGTTGTTACTGCATGAACCTTTCCTTTTTATATCTTTGGACCCTAATCACTCCGAGAAAATAATGAGTACTTCCCAGTGAGTCTTATAACTGGTTAGTTGAAAACCTAAGAAGAAGTCCATAGGAATTTTCTTTGTTAAAGTAAAATCTTTTCTTCAAATAATTGAGAACATCATTTTTACATCTGCTAATTGAATAGGTACAATATTTCCAGTCTGTGTAAATAATTATATACTGTTTCCTTTTCTCATTCTAACTTCTGTGTATTTTTGAAATATTGCTCATTTTTCCTGGTAAAATCCTAATAAATGCAATTAAAAGAACTATTATAATTTTTATGAGTATATCTTTAGCTTATATAATTTAAGCACTGACTAAACATGAAAGCAATAAAAAAATAAGGCCACCAAACTGATGAAATGGCAAATACAGAAAGTGTAAAAAGTAAAACAGTGGTAGTGTTAAGAGATTAAGACTATGGCAATTTTTGTCTCTTTTGATATTTTAAAATTGTTGGTCACTGAACAGTTCCATACTGTTTTTTCTCTTATGATCAACTGCATAAACCAGCCAGAAAAAAAAAAAAAGAAAGAAAAATATAGGTTACTGAGTAGAACTAGCTGTTCTATGGTCCTTTATGGACAACATTTAGCAAAGGAAAAGTTAAGATTCTAAAGAACTTACTTTATCTGGACAATTTTTACTTAGCATAAGTGGAAATATTCGTTGCTGTAAGTACAACACTTTAGATCTGTTACTGCCACTACAGCCATACATAAAGATGTTCTCTTTTCTACTGTGGCCATGAAGATCACAATATAAAATAACTTCTCGTTTCTCCATCAATCTACCAAGAAGAAAAAGGATGTTACTAAATTTTACCTGTGAATTTTCTTCTGTGGACTTGATTATAAAACATTATATCCAAATAATCACAATTTTTATGTCCTAGCTTTCAAGTCTTTCTCACATATCCATATGACATATTATCATTAATATTCACTGTAAAGCAATTCATTATTTCCTGTAACCTATCTACAGAAACTGAATGCTGTAGTGTTGTTATAAGGATGACATTTATTCTCCAGTCTCCAGCAAGATCTCTGCGCTGCATCAATCTGATTTTTCCTCTGAGCACAGAAAACAAATCACACCTCTCTCTGCCCAACACCTTTCACATAGATTCAGACTGAAATCCCATCCCTATTTATCTTTATAAATGCAAATTCTAACCCCATCCTCCAAAACCGAACTTGTTTCACTCACCTAACTCATCAAGCCATCGATTTTCTCTTTTTGACCTTCTCTAGCACTTTACTGGTATCGTTCTCTTGTGCTTGCCTAGGTATTTTTATACTTTTGATATTTAAGCTTATTAAGGATGACAAATACTTTACATTATTTAGAATGGTGATCTGTACATAAGTACTCAGATATTTGCTAAAAATGAACATGTAAATTTCAAATAAATATTGTAAAGAAAAGAAATTATGGTAAATTTTAAAAAACCCAATCCTTAGTCTATGTAATTCAGCACTCAACGATTTTAGAGCAATAAATATAGCCCCTCAAACTGGTTAATGGAAATGACTAATAAAGGAGGCTTTCAAAAGGTAACAAAAGTGGTGTGAAAATGGCAGAGTAACTAACATTTTTATCCATATTTTCAAGCTTTATATATTACTTAGTAAAATTACATACTAATTATAACTATGAAAATGTTAGCAATGATATTACATGAAATACAATAAAAATAAGATCAAAACACCTAAACCATTGCTTTGATGAAAATATTCCTGAAATTGTAATAAAATTTCAAACTAAAATTTGTTAATATATTAATATATTGCCTTTATCTCATTTGGTGCCTGATGAATTCTTTTTTCTTTCTTCTTTTTTTTTTCAAAATTTTATTGATAACCAGATAGCAATGAGACAGTTTCAAATCAAATCGGAAGTACAGTTTCAACAAATAATACACTGCATATATTCTTCTTAGTGGTTAATTGCTGTACAAGATGTGGACTTGAGATCTTATTTACAAACACCATTAGAACAAATCATTCTATTCATTAAGAGAATGCAACTATACATCTATCCTAACCACTTTGAATACACAGATACAAAATGGACATTCATCTGTATACCCTATTTCTTCTAAGTTCCGTTATTGAATATTATAGGTGTGCAAACTCAGCAAAATATTCTAAAAGAGTCCAGTAGCCCATAATAGCATTGGGTCTTCTGTTTAACTGGCAATGTCAGAAATTATTGACCTGAGTCCCCCACAGCTCAACATAACAGCATGGCTTTATTTCCTATATTTCGTCTTTATACTTTTCTACTGGATGGTTAAGACCAAGGTAAAGCAGGACCTGTGCAACAAGAGTTGTAGCTTTTGGGTCTGAGAAGGTCAGTGAAATGCCCTCAGGATTTATTCTGAGATCCTGTACCTCAGATTGTAGAACCTTTGTCGGTGCAGCCTTGTGGATGAGTCACGGCCATTGCTTGGCCAATGTGCTCTCTGTGAAAGCATGAGAGAGGGTTTTCTCTCCATGTGACTCTCCTTAGGCACACTCTACGTCCTTGATCACTTTCCTCTTTGGCCCCATAATCTTCTTGATCAGAAAATTTGGGACACTACCGAGGTACATGACGTCACAGTACAAGTTCTCATATGTCCTGAGTCTTAATTGACCTTAGAAGGTTTGGGCCAAAATGTTGGCTTTCATTGTAGCCCTCCTTTTTCTCTAATTTTGGTCTGCAAACTTAGGTTGTTAACCATCCAGAAGATAAGCTTATTGTTATTATCAAAAGATTTAGGCTATTAAGCTTAACCTCACTATCTCACTGCATTTCGAACATCTTAGGCATAATAAGGAACATGTATTTTTCATCAAGTATTGATATGTTGAACTTTAAGTCCCTACATAATATGATAAAAACATTTAAAAATTAGATTATATTTTAAAAATAGGATAAAGAATTATATACTTCTCATGTTTGCACATAAGTCCAAAATTCTCACCATATACAACCTTGAAGTAGGACCCTCCCACAATGTTCCTTTTCCTGTCTCTTGTTTTCATTCACCACCCCCTTCTTCTTGAATATCCAGCTACCCGAGAGACATCATACCAGTAACTGGCATGTCATGACAAGCCGCCCATATTCAGACTACCAGAATACCAGAATGACAGGCATTCCAAACATGAAACTACTGTTACAAATTACCATCTGCAGTGTAGTAGCTTAGTTCACAGGTATCAGTATATATAGTTAGTCAGAGTGAAAATCTTTCCAGTTAACTGCTAGATTAAAAAATCTTCTGAATATTCTCAGGATCATTGCTTTGCTCATCTTTTACATATAACTGTATGGCTTGACATTGTCATGTTTACTAGCTCTTCTCCTTTCCCTCTCTTGATTAGTTAGTCCTTCAGATCCTGCTTTCCTTTTACTTGTATTATATCTTTCTATTTGTATTTCTTCCTTGGAGTTCTTATACTAGGGAGACTATACGATATTTACACATGTGTGTCTGGTTTATTTCACTTATGAGTATATGTTCAAGTGGCATCCACTTCAATATAAAGGCTTGCAGTTTATCATTCTTAATAGCTGAATAATACTCCATTGTGTAAAAATACCACATCTTTCTCAACCATTCCTCATGTGATGGGCATCTTGGTTGCTTCCAAGATTTGGCTATCACAAATTGTGCTGCTATAAACATAGGCACACATATATCCCTATGATATGATGTTTTCAGATCCTCTGGGAAAATTCCCAGTAGAGGAATAGCTGGTTTAAAGGGGATTTCCAGACCAACTTTTCTAAGGAGTCTCCATACTGATTTCCATAACGGTTGCACCAGTCTACACTCCCACCAGCAGTGGAGAAGGGTTCCTTTTTCCCCACAGCCTCTCCAACATTTGTTGTTGGGTGATTTCTTTATGATAGCCATTCTTTCTGGGGTGAGATGATATCTCAATGTGGTTTTAATTTGCATTTCACGAATGGCTAGTGATGTGGAACATTTTTTCATATATTTATTGGCTTGTTTAATTTCATCCTCTGAGAAGCGTGTGTTCATCTCGGATGCCCATTTCTGGATTGGGTCTTTAAATTTTGGGGTACTAGTGTTTTTTAGTTCTTTATAGATTCTAGAGAGCAGATCTTTGTCTGAGTACTTATTTGTCATGATTTTTTCCAAATTTGTGGGTTGCCTTTTCACTTTGTTGGTAATTTCTTTTGACATGAAAAACCTTCTCAGTAAGAGCAGGTCCCAGTTGTTAATTCTTTCAACTGTTACCCATGCGATTTGATTTCTGTCCATGAACTCTTTGCCTACCCCTATGTCTTCAAGAGTTCCCCCTACTTTCTCTTCCAGGAGATTTAGTGTCTCTGCTTTAATGTTTAGATCTTTAATCCACTTTGACTTTAGTTTAGTGCATTCTAACTGATAACATGCTGTTGTCATAAAGCCACTAAAAAGTCCTTACTAGTACAAAACTAACTAGATTATAAAGCATGAATGTTAAGATAAATCCTTAACCATGTAGCATACTGTGCATTTTAAAATCCTAAATTTCTCAGTTTAATGATCATTTAGCTTCTTATAAGTGGAAGGAAAATTCAAATTAATTCCCACAGAAATATTATTACTGCTGAAGTAAAACAGACATTAACATCTTTCACCATACATTAATTAAAATAGCTTTAGGACCAATTTGAATTTTTTCTTACTCATGGTTAACTAAGATACTGTAATTATTTTATTCTAGGTATCTCATTCTAATGTGCTTTATTTATTTGTCTTCTTGAGATATGGTCTCCTTATGCAGTTCAGGCTGGCCTTGAGCTCACTGTGTAACAATCCTCCTGCCTCAGTGTTACAGTCTGTGTCTAGTTGTCCCCCCAAGTTTCATGCAGTCATGGGGCAGCTTCTGGAGTTTGTGACTGATTCTTGATCCAATGCTGGGATTATGGGTGTGAGAGCCCTGGGGCAGATATGCTACATTACGGTATAAGGAGGGGAGAGAGGCTAGCTAGCTGCCTGTGCTGCAGCCCCTCCCTTTGTGCCCTGCTCTTTGCTGCCACCATGAAAGGCTGCTATGTACCACCATGAAAGGCTGCTCTCTGCCAGACTCTGCCTTGGAGCCAGCCAAATATAGACTGAAACCTCCACAAACTGTGAGCTAAATAAACCTCTCCTTCTTTAATTTTGATTGGTGGGTAGTTTGTCCCAGCAGTAACAACAACAAAATAACTAAGACACTCAGCCTCCCGAGTGATGGGATTAGAGGCATGTGCCACCATGCCCAACTAATGTGCTTTAAATGTAGCTAGATATACTCACAGCATTCACCTTTGCACACACATGCGGCTACTTCCTATTTAACTACCTTTGGTTAGTTACTTTAAGGTATTTCACTTTCTTGGAAGTCTTTCTGAATCTTGCTAAACAGACTCTCACCTTAATCTTCCTACAAGGCAGTATGAGAACTAGTATGTTTAAAAGAGTTTCCAGAGAGACAAGCCTAAAATATTGGCCTGTAATCCAACATGTGTCAGATCAGGAACCTCCAATATCGAAGAGCTTTAAATAGACATTATAGACATTTTAGTAGGCACCCACCTACTCCTCATATCTCCACTTCTGTGCCTGAATATCTCTTTCTCTCTCTCTCTCTCTCTCTCTCTCTCTCTCTCTCTCTCTCTCTCTCTCCCCCTTCCTCCCTCTCTCATCATCAAACATCCAACTGTAAAGTTTGTTGTTTGGGAATAAATTTAGGTTGATATAAAAGTTACAGAGATAGTGTATTGTCATAAATAATCTTTCCT